GGGACACTAGAGGGAACGTTATGGCAGTGGGTCCTGCTCACTGCTCATGTTTTATTTATTTATTTTAATATTTTTAATATATTAGTGTTATTAGTAATATAATTTTAGTAGTATGAATCATTGTTGAAAGTACATCATACTGTTATCATTACTACAATTTTTTTTAGAAATTTTATTCACATTTACTTATCTCAGTGCATATTATTTCTCAGTATATACATTTATTATTTTGATTTTTAATTATTCTTTTCATCCTATACACTTGATATTTCAATTATACCCTAACTCATATCCTTGTACATATTCCACCTAAAATCTCATTCCACACACATTTACGCCCTTTAACCAATATATAAGTTAATAGGCACAAATGGCCCCAAAACTTCAGCCAAATCAGTTAAATTGTGAATATTGTTCTTTCTCCTTTTATATTATTATTATTATTATTATTTTATTAAAGTGGTGTGCTTTTGATATCCATTATAGTAATTTTGTTTTAAAGTATAATTGTCATCAAAATAATATTTCATTAAGTGTGTGCACATAGATAAGTAAATGTGTGAAAATATATTTTTTCAAATTTTTTGGATAATTCTACTTGCACCATTAATTTACCTTTTTACACCATTCATTTTATTGCATCACTAAAAAAATGTGATTCTCATTACACTTATTATACTAGCAAAACTAATCATAAACTAAAAACTCTTCAAAATCTTTTTAGTTTTTTTCTCTTACGCCGATAGCTTTTGGTAATACAATGTTATAGAATTTAAATTACTCTAATGTCGTGTTACCAAACAAACTAATTTTTTTCAGCCATTGGTTGTCGTTCGATTATATGATTTTGCTTTACTTTAACAAGAAATTAGTTGGAGCCCATTTGTGAAGCATATGTTCGGTGATACATTACTATACAAATTAGAACAGTCTAGTGACATGTTGCTGTAACATGCCCAGGAGTACCCGTGGACGTTGAACAATTCGGACCCTTGATGTCTTCGATTTAATCTCACGAGTGCAATATGAAACATAGATCAGAGTCCAAATTTGACAACTTTATTGAAAATTCATTTTATAGAAAATTTCAAAGTCGTTACCTAATATTTTGAAAAAATTAGGAAACCTGTAACTCGTGCCAAGGAAACTATTCGTCGTAACCAAGGATGCTTGGCTTAGAACCTTAAGTATGAGAGGAGAATGTCATTAATTGAGTACCCCTGCTCACCCGATTAAAAGATCGGCCTCTAATAAACCATAATATGAATTTTATTAACTTTATATGTTTAATTCCGATTATTTAATAATACTAAAAATTACTGTGTGAAGCAAACAAGTATAGGTCATATCATTCATTTTAGAATAACTTGATTCCATGTGTTTTTGAAAGAATTTTAAAGAGGTGCAACTCAAAAGAAATCGAGCTCACAAGCATGGAATCACTATTATTCCAAATTAAATGACACGGCCTCCATCCACTGGCATTCATAGAGATGTATCACATAAGCAAATAACCACATGATAGAATGCTTGACATAATAAGAAAAACACACAAAAGAGATGCTAAAACATAAAAACTCACATATTTACTAACGTCCCGCGAACAGCTATAAAACAAAGTTAGAAAGTATGCATGATCTAATATACAAAATAATAATGCAATACATACACAGAATGTGACTAGAGATTCGACTACTAAAGCATGACAAGTGAACTACCTCAAAAGCATAAGGTAGCGCACGTAATCACATAATAATTGATTAAACCTGTAGATGCAAATGAGCCGACTCTAAATGCATAAAATATGAATGCAAAGCATGGATATGATAAAAGAAAATAAAAGAAGAAAATATGATGATATTTATAGAATATGGAAAGTAAGTAAATAAAAGCGATAGAAATAAATGGGGTAGGAAGACATGCATAGTAAGGGGTAGAAACAAGGGTTGCGAATTATTGCAACACAAATCGGATCTAATAAATCATACGAATAAAATAAAAAAAAATAATATTCATTCACCGGTTACTATTCATCCTGTAATCACTATTCATTCGCCAGAAATTGTTCTGCCCACTATTGGGTGATTGCTTTGTTTTGCTAAGGAAAACACATATGGTCGAAGTACTATTAATCCGGCGGTACTATTTACCGTTGACAGTACTATTCACCACGACAGTTACTATTCATCCTCCTTTGTCATTATTTATCTTACCAGGCATTTTTAGTCTGCATTTACTATTCATTACCGGAGATACTATTCACCACAGGTAGTTACTATTCACCGCCAATCACTATTCACCCAACGGGGTCATATTTCTAACATGTTAGGTGGTTTCAACCGATCATTCAAAGTGAAAAATTACAACAGTTTATATACAACAGTAACTTACAACAGATATGTGGATGGTGCAACATTCCCTTTAAAGCGGTAAAACAATTATATATATATATATATAGATAAAGTAAATTACAACAGATATTTGTGTGGTGCAGCCTTCCACTTTCACAGCCTAAATATAACATATTTAAAATAGTAAAGAAAATACAAGAAAACAAATGATAAGAAATCTATGGAATAGAGGCTCGACCTTCCATTTCCACAACCTAAATATCACATATATAAAATAGAAAAGAAAATACAAAATAAATAAATAAATAAATAAATGAGAAGAAATCTAAGGAAGAGATGCTCAACCTTCTATTTCCACAACCTAAATATCACATATTTAAAACACTAAGGAAAATACAGGAAAATAAATGACGAGATTGGAAAAATTTACATTTTGGAGGATATGGTAAATTTTCTAATTATCAAACTTTCTTCTTTATATCCTCACGATTATGGTGTATGCTTTGAAATCTCAGTAAGAAATTTCAAGTTTTAGGTTTAATGTGGTTTTGGGTGGTATATATTGATAGATAAAAAGATTGATTAAAACTAATTTTGATTTTTGAAAATTAATTCCCTCAAAATTTTTTGAAAACAATTTATTTATTTATTTATTTATTTTCCTCTTCACGTTGAGCTTCTCTAGCTCTTTTTTTCCACCCCTAAATCATGAACCCTCCCTTGCCTTTTATAGGCAAAATTATCAACAAAAACAAAAATAATAAAATAATTTAGATATTTATATAAGGCAAATTTGATTTCTCTTCTTTTTTTTTTCTTTTTGTATTTTTTGTTTAATTAATTTTAATATATAATATAAAAATATTATTTATTCTAATTGATATAAAAACATGTAAAATATATACAAACACATAAATTATGCAAAATTATAAAATATTACAAAATAATAAACTTATACATATATTTCGGTGGTCTAAAACAATTTGGCCAAAACGGATGAGAGTTGGGATTAAAGCTTAAATCCGATTTTTCTGCTGAGAAATTCATAAAATAACATATTCTAATTTTTATCATCGGGTGATCAAAAGAAAGCACCCAAATCTTAGGATCGGTCAAATTGTGGTGTCTACAGTTGCCCCTTTTTGACAGAGCTTTAAGTCATTCCATGACGTGAGTGAATGCCAAAGCCCGAAGAGGACCCTTATGGCAAGGCTGTAAAACTTGGGCAAAAAACCAAGATGCAAATGCAGTTGGTTAAACTTGAGGGTTGCCTACGTATCCCTTTGCAAAGAATCAAACTAGCACAGTTCAGGAGTAGAGTGTAAATGACACGCTCGAAATGCAATTTGAAAGTTAGGCTTACACGCTTCATGTAGCTAGTGGTTTTTAAAATTCATGATTATGCAATGCAATGCAATACAATGTTATGGAATGATGATAAACAAGCCTTGTGCAAATGATATAAAGCATAACAGGGGGTGCATCGCATACATATGTGCCATATCATCGCATACAAATGTACCACAGCAAAAATCATAGAGGAACTTCAAGATCCAAACATGTCTCACGCGAGAGCAGAAATAGTGAACTCGGAATCCAAATGCGTTTCACGCGAGAGAAGAAACAGTGATATAACCAACAAGCGTACCTAACCGTATCTCATACGGAGAGGGGGAATGCTTTAATCGGTTAGATTAACACTTGAAAGGAGAAAATATAGTGTAACCAACAAGCGTACCTAATCGTATCTCATACAGTAATCTGAAATCCTAACGTGTTTCACTCGAAAGGAGGAAAAGTGGTGTAACCAACAGACATACCTTATCGTATCTCATACGGCGAGGAGGAACGTTTTAATCGAATAACTTGAAATACATACTCAATATATGGCTTCACCACAGAGCTATTGTACAACAAAAACCAGTGAGCCCTTTCTCGTTCATTCTACAAAGGGTCAAGAGCCCTTGTGATAGATGAGAATAGACAACCATATGTTCATAATGATTACCTTTCGATCGGGTACATCCATCGATATTGCACCGGTTCGGAAAACATGGCCTTACGCGGCAAGTGAACAGCCAAATGGACCATCACATCAAAGAAAGTTAGAGGGAAAATTTTCTCCAACTTGCAAAGTATGAGCACAATTCGTTTCTCTATTTTTTCCAAATCAATCTGCCTTAATGTTTTTTAGCACAGTTCTTGGAAGAAGTTGCCCAAATCAAATAGTGTTCTATAGATCTCCTTATTCACAAAACTACGCATGTCAATTGGAAGAAGTCGCTAAAGCAGGACATGACAATCATGGCTTTTCATGCCTAATAATCTTCCATTTTTAGAAGTCACACATATTGAGATGTTTGCTGCATAGCCATCTGGATAACTAATAGACTTCAAGAATTCAAAAAAACCATCTATTTGTCGAGGATCCAATGTGTAGGCTACCAAAGGCTTGACAACGGATCTGTTATCTTTCCTCTGTAGATGCAATTCTTGCCTTATGCCCATTTCTTGCAAATCATCACATGCTTTATATGTGTCCTTGTTTTTCCCATCTATGGCCAACATCATCCCATAACAAATGTTCTTCTCAATGTACATGACATCAAGATTGTGTCAGAGCTTTAGTTTCTTCTAATATGGTAGCTCTCACATTATGCTTTTCTTTGTCCAATTCAATTCTTCAGACTCTCGTGGTCTTTTCTTGTTAGTAGGATCCTTTCCAAACTTGACTTCACGCAATTGATCCAATTGAGCCATTACTTTTTCCACTGATAAATCCAAGGATTTCTTCCTAAGCTCAATTAAACCATCAGACTTCTTGTCCTTCCTTCGACGGTGGTTATCAGACAAGTAAGCTCGATAACCCACCCACCCTATCTTACTAATCAACCCATGTGATAATGGATTATCATTACAAGGAGGGCAAGCCAAATAACCTTTAGTTCTCCATCCAGATAAGGCATCGTATCCAGGGAAGTCATTTATGGTCCATATTACAGCTGCATGCATTTGGAAAGTCTGTTTAGTGGAGGCATCGTAAGTCATCGTGCCATTCTCCCACAACTTGTTCAACTCATCAATCAATGGCCTTAGGTAGACATCAATATTAGTCCCTAGTTGATTACGTCCAGGAATAAGTAAGGACATCATGAAAAATGGGGCCTTCATACATCTCCAAGGTGGTAGGTTATAAGGCATGAGTATGACAGGCCACATGCTATAGGAAGTGCTCATGTTCCCAAAAGGCTTGAACCCATCGGTGGCTAGGCCCAACCTAACATTGTGAGTCTCATAGGCAAACTCTAGACAATGCAAATCAAATTCCTTCCACTCCTTACAATCAGCTGGATGCCTCCCTACACCATCGTCAACACGTTTATCACTATGCCATCTCATGTCTTTAGCCATCTTCCTAGATATGTATAATGTTCTCAACCTAGGTGTCAATGGAAAGTAACGCAATATCTTGTGAGGGATCTTCTTACCCTTGCTATTATTTACTCTGTACCTAGAAGCTTGACATGTGGGACATTTTTCCAAGCGAGCATTCTTCTTCCAGAATAGTACACAATCATGTTTACATGCATCGATGAGCTCGTATCCCAAGCCCAAGTCACGTAGTAACTTCTTGCACTCATAAATTGACCTTGGCACCACATGGCCCTCTGGTAGGAATCGCCTTTGTATCCCCAAAACCTTGTCAAAAGACTTATTGCTCCACCTATTTTCTACCTTCACATGTAGCATCTGAATAACGAATGCTAACAGAGTATCTGAGGTTTTGCAACCTGCGTACAAGCAACATTGGGAAGCAGCTAACAAGTTATCAAAATTTCATACATCCTCTCTTTCTAGAGTATCACCCTCCATAAAATTCCCCCTCTAGTAGTCCTCTATCAGTTCATCATATTCATGTTGATCCTCGTCATTTTCACCATTGCTTTCATCAAGGTGTTGTGTTCTAGAAGTTCACCGTGTTCTAACCAAGTGGTGTATGGTACTATCATCCCACTTATGAGCAAATGAACCTTCATGGTATCATACTCCTGCTTATAAAAGTTACAATAATTGATGCATGGACACTTAATCTCCCTACCCTCACCCAAATAAACCTTTGCAAATTCAACAAATGAGTTCACCCCATCTACATATGGTTGACTGAATCTGTCAGAAATTAACATCCACCTACTGTCCATATCTGATCATAAGATAGTAGTTAATACCAATAGGACACAACCTTTATTTATTATTATTTATTTATTTATTTATTAAACATAAAGACAAAGTGTAGACTGCCCGGAACTCCCGCTCCGCGCGTGAGGGCGCGAGTCGTTTTGTTTTTAACTACTACAGTTTGGACTCGTGTCACGGTTCTGAATCTAATCTCGCAAAGTGCAATGCAAGATTGATAAATCACCAAAGAGTCCAAATCCAGAAAATCGTTTTGAAAAATGGATTTTAATAAAGAAGTGCCAAACATGGACTGCTTTGCCAGATACAGAGTCGCCACCTAAATGTTTTATTTTGGAAAATTTAGGAAACCCTGACTCGTGTCTAAGGCCACGTGTCCGTCATCACCAACGTTGCCTCGGCTTGGGAACTTGGGTACGAGAGGGGAAGGTCATGCAATGAGCACCCCCGCTTGCCCGATCAAAGATCGGCCTTTACTAACATGATATTTTGTTTTTGAAAATACATGTGTTCTTATTCCGGTTATTAACCTAGAATTACTATGTGGTGCGCACAGCATACAAGTATAGACTAGATCACCTAAGTTGGAACAAAGCGTTTCATGTTCATTTGTTTGAAAACGGTTTCGAGGTACTACTTGTAAGTAGGCTAAGTCGTGGATTTTGCCACCCTCAAGTGGGCTTAAAAAACATGATTTTGCCACTCCACAAAGTGGGCTCAAAATTCACATTTCGATGAATTGTTCTAATTCAAGCAATCCAACCTTCATCCACAGGCATTCATGCAGTTAAACACTTAAGCAGTTAGCCTCATAGTAAGCATGCTAAACATGGCAATCACTTACACACATGCAAGGATGCTAAAGCATAAACACTTACAGTGTACTTCGAGCCAAAACAGAGAACTAGTTAGAAATCATGCATGATCCTAGTTCATGTTAAGATGGCTAATGCAACACGCAAAAATGCAGCTAAAATAGGTTCTGCTATTTAGAATGGCATATGAAATGCAACTTGACAACATGATGTTGAACACATATTCAAGTAAATGTATTTGAAATACAATGTAGTTTGTATGATGTGGTGAGCCCGTTGCATGCAAAACAAAATGAATGATGCACGCATGCATAGCATAAGATGCCAATTGAAACATGCCCTAAAACTAACCATCGAAAACTGATAAGTAAAAAGGAGAAAGAAATTGGGTGGGAAGACATGCATCACAAACACGCACGCTTATTACAACATTTTCCCTCTCGACGAAGGGTCCGAATAATAATCTAACTAGCTAATCTAAACTAATTAAACTAATTATTACACAACACAAATTGAATTTGAATCAACTAGTTGATCTAAGCTAATTAAGTACAAAGATGGAATCAATTAAATAATACAGTAACTAACTAATTAGCAAATTAACTAACTACACAAAGTAGTTAAAACAGCCTTGAGGAGAGGGGCATCTACACCATCGTCAACACGTTTATCACTATGCCATCTCATGTCTTTAGCCATCTTCCTAGATATGTATAATGTTCTCAACCTAGGTGTCAATGGAAAGTAACGCAATATCTTGTGAGGGATCTTCTTACCCTTGCTATTATTTACTCTGTACCTAGAAGCTTGACATGTGGGACATTTTTCCAAGCGAGCATTCTTCTTCCAGAATAGTACACAATCATGTTTACATACATCGATGAGCTCGTATCCCAAGCCTAAGTCACGTAGTAACTTCTTGCACTCATAAATTGACCTTGGCACCACATGGCCCTTTGGTAGGAATCACCTTTGTATCCCCAAAACCTTGTCAATAGACTTATTGCTCCACCTATTTTCTACCTTCACATGTAGCATCTGAATAACGAATGCTAACAGAGTATCTGAGGTTTTGCAACCTGCGTACAAGCAACATTGGGAAGCAGCTAACAAGTTATCAAAATTTCATACATCCTCTCTTTCTAGAGTATCACCCTCCATAAAATTCCCCCTCTAATAGTCCTCTATCAGTTCATCATATTCATGTTGATCCTCGTCATTTTCCCCATTGCTTTCATCAAGGTATTGTGTTCTATAAGTTCACCGTGTTCTAACCAAGTGGTGTATGGTACTATCATCCCACTTATGAGCAAATGAACCTTCATGGTATCATACTCCTGCTTATAAAAGTTACAATAATTGATGCATGGACACTTAATCTCCCTACCCTCACCCAAATAAACCTTTGCAAATTCAACAAATGAGTTCACCCCATCTACATATGGTTGACTGAATCTGTCAGAAATTAACATCCACCTACTGTCCATATCTGATCATAAGATAGTAGTTAATACCAATAGGACACAACCTTTATTTATTATTTATTTATTTATTTATTTATTTATTAAACATAAAGACAAAGTGTAGACTGCCCGGAACTCCCACTCCGCGCGCGAGGGTGTGAGTCGTTTTGTTTTTAACTACTATAGTTTGGACTCGTGCCACGGTTCTGAATCTAATCTCGCAAAGTGCAATGCAAGATTGATAAATCACCAAAGAGTCCAAATCTAGAAAATCGTTTTGAAAAATGGATTTTAATAAAGAAGTGCCAAACATGGACTGCTTTGCCAGATACAGAGTCGCCACCTAAATGTTTTGTTTTGGAAAATTTAGGAAACCCTGACTCATGCCTAAGGCCACGTGTCCGTCATCACCAAAGTTGCCTCGGCTCGGGAACTTGGGTACGAGAGGGGAAGGTCATGCAATGAGCACCCCCGCTTGCCCGATCAAAGATCGGCCTTTACTAACATGATATTTTGTTTTTGAAAATACATGTGTTCTTATTCCAGTTATTAACCTAGAATTACTATGTGGTGCGCACAGCATACAAGTATAGGCTAGATCACCTAAGTTGGAACAAAGCGTTTCATGTTCATTTGTTTGAAAACAGTTTCGAGGAACTACTTCTAAGTAGGCTAAGGCCTCGTTTGGGAACAAGCTAATTTAGTAACGTTTTGGCTATTTGGCTAAAATATGAGCTAAAAAAAACTAGTATGTTTGGGATGACTTTTTGAATTTTTAAGAAAAGATGTGCAAAAAGTAGAGATAAAAAGGAATCTTTGACTTTTTGGTATGGGTTGTTGGCTTTTTGGCTAATTTAGTAACTTTTTGGCTACTTTAGTAACTTTTTGATTTTTTGACTAAATGGGAGGGTTCCCAAACGAGGCCTAAGTCGTGGATTTTGCCACCCTCAAGTGGGCTTAAAAAACATGATTTTGCCACTCCACAAAGTGGGCTCAAAATTCACATTTCGATGAATTGTTCCAATTCAAGCAATCCAACCTTCATCCACAGGCATTCATGCAGTTAAACACTTAAGCAGTTAGCCTCATAGTAAGCATGCTAAACATGGCAATCACTTACACACATGCAAGGATGCTAAAGCATAAACACTTACAGTGTACTTCGAGCCAAAACAGAGAACTAGTTAGAAATCATGCATGATCCTAGTTCATGTTAAGATGGCTAATGCAACACGCAAAAATGCAGCTAAAATAGGTTCTGCTATTTAGAATGGCATATGAAATGCAACTTGACAACATGATGTTGAACACGTATTCAAGTAAATGTATTTGAAATACAATGTAGTTTGTATGATGTGGCGAGCCCGTTGCATGCAAAACAAAATGAATGATGCACGCATGCATAGCATAAGATGCCAATTGAAACATGCCATAAAACTAACCATCGAAAACTGATAAGTAAAAATGAGAAAGAAATTGGGTGGGAAGACATGCATCACAAACACGCACGCTTATTACAACATTTTCCCTCTCAACGAAGGGTCCGAATAATAATCTAACTAGCAAATCTAAGCTAATTAAACTAATTATTACACAACACAAATTGAATTTGAATCAACTAGCTGATCTAAGCTAATTAAGTACAAAGATGGAATCAATTAAAAAGTACAGTAACTAACTAATTAGCAAATTAACTAACTACACAAAGTAGTTAAAACAGCCTTGAGGAGAGGGGCATATGCATGCTCGGTCGACTTCGCTCGGAAATCCTCTACTGTGCCTCATGATGCCTCTGTTTGCACACTTTTGGACTTCTGAAAATTGTGCCAACTTCCATAGTGCTTTTGACCCACCTTAGGAACAATCTGAGAGGTGGTCGGCCAAGAGGAATATCCATCGGCCAAGTGTAATAGTCATCGGCCAATTTTGATATCCGATCGGCCACTTCTTCCTGCAAACTTCTCATTTTGCTGCAACAGAGCGCTAACAGAGGCATGGCAGTGTATTTGCAAGAAAATGTGTGTGTAACCACACTCCTTATCATGTCTAAGGCTTAAAGGAGTGTAGTGCTCAGCTCTCGAGCCATCAATCACGCATCTCGATACATGATGGCCAAAGAGGCCGAGTTGCACAAGTCAATGGCAAATGAATGCACAAAAACACATAAATGCCTTAACCTCTATTATGCATGATCAAGAGGGTCGGCGACCGAGAATTGAAGCACGTTTCATCACTTCAAGTGTGAAACGTCCCTCGCTCCTCGTGTTTGGATTGACCCTCTATCCAAACACAATGCAATGTAAGGCATGCACACATAATGCAATGCGACAAGCATGCAAAAATCATGCAATGCAATAAGCATGCAACAATATGCAATGCACCAAGATCGACTTAGTAATGCTAATGGCATGTGAACAATGTAATGCAACATGATTAACTTATCAAAGCCAATGGCATGCCAACTCAATGTAATGCAACCTAAGCATGCCAACAAAGCTAATGCAACATGAGCATGCCAACAACCATGCAAACATCATGCAAGATGGACTTAAACCGGATTTGGACAGACCTCAGTCATGTCCAAAACAATAGCCAAAATGATGAAATGATGGCATGAAAAGTAAGGAAATGCATGCACATGCAATGGCCCATTAACTAGGCATAAGAGCACAACTCTCAAACATGATCAAAAAGTGACAACCGTGGAAGTGTGACAACACTATATGCACTGAAATATCATGTGAGATGATGCCAAATCAACCAAACAATACAAGCATGGCATGCTAGGAGGCTCAAAGCTTGAACCTAGCATAGGCACTTGCACTATAGCTATGCAGTACATGAAGCATATAGCCAAGGCAACCCAAAACAGTCCTAGAACATGTCAAAATAAGACTAAAACATGCATGGACTAAAGCTAAAACATGCTAGCATGACGGGCATGAGGCATGAAGTATGCAAGGCCAACAAAGGGGATTGCACTACACCTACCAAAACCAATCATGAGATGACTTTGCCAACAAAAATCAGAGTTATAACATGGCAAAATGAGACCAAATACACACTGATATGGCAGCTTACAAGCTTAGGCATGATGGCATACAAACGACTCATTTTTAAGGCATAAAGAACCAACCCTCCTATGCATTGAAAGAGTGAAAGATGTGAGTGTATGGCCATACTATGTGCACTGAAGTCACATAATATATGATGCCAAATCATGAAAATAGTCCAAGTAATGCATGCTAGAAGGCTCAATACACAAAGCTAATGAGCAAGATTGAACCATGGCTATACAAAACAATGCATGCATGACCAAAACAACACAAATCAAAGCTTAAGCATGGTAAAACATAAACAAAAGCTTCTTGGAGTTGAGCCAAAAGCATGCTAGAATGATAGTCCAAAGCATGATGCATGTTAGGCTAGTGAAGGGATTTGCACTACAAGTGTCTAAAACATGCAAAGGGTGATCAAACCAAGCCAAAACAATGAAATGCCATACTGAAATAAGGCCTAATACATGCTAAGATGGAGCCAAAACAAGCTTAACAAACATGTTACTTTTATGAGCCATCTATACAAGCATACAAGACACAAGGAGAGGGGATGACTCTCTCCTATTTAAGACCTCAAAACACACTTTCCACCACTAAAATTCCTTTGGAATTCAGGGGTAGAAAGGTCATGCAAAGACTAAAACAAAAGCCTAAAGAGGTGGCCCAAAACAAGGCACAAAAGGGGGTAGACCACCCCCAACACCAATAAGACCTTAAACAATCATTTCAAACACATGAAAATGAAGTTTTTTACAGTTCAGAGTTAAGCCAAAATAAGCATGCAAATAAGGCTAAGTAAGCAATGAACACAAACCTTAAAAGAGGGTTAGTGACTCACCTTTGTAGAACAACTTCAAAGAGGCAACTCCAGCAACTTTCTGAGCTAAAAACCAAACTTTAAGTTCAAACAAAACCCTCAAGTACCTCAGCAACAAGAGTATGGTGTTTGAGTAGGTGCTTTAGTGCAAAAGTGTGAAGAAATTACACTTTTGAGCACAAACAAGTGCAAATATAGAGAGATATATATAACTTGTATCTCAATTTTTCAAAACCTCTGGAAAGGGAGAGGGGTCTCCCTTCTTATAGAAAATCAAATCTCAAGCTTGTTGAGCAAGCTTTAGACTTGTTTCAATCCCTCCATACACGTGTGTGGAGGATAAAATCTGTGCTCTCCAGTTGTCACAGCTGGTACAAAAATATCTGCAAAAACAAATAAAAAGGATTCGGCCAAAAGATATGGCCGATTGTCCAAAAAGGGTGCCGATCGGCCACTACCAATGGTCGATGGCAAGAAGGAAAGGCCAATAAGCACAAGTCCTGGCCGATGGGTTGTAGGGATGACCAACAAACCAACCTCTTCCCTCAGAAACAAAACCGCAAGTCCTTGGTCCACAACCAAGCACAAATTAGACAAGTTGAGAGGTTCTAAGGCAAGGCGCGCAGCTGAGACCTTCGGGAACTGAAAACGAACACGAGCATGGATGATCATCAAGTGTTCAAACAATGACGTCCGAGTCTTGATGACGGTCAAAAATGAGGTATCTACAGTTGCCCCTCTTCGACAAAACTCGAAAATCATAAGATAACGGGAGTGAATGTCAAAACCCAAAGACGACCCATTTTTGACGAGGCTGAAGACTTAGACAAACATACAAGATTACAAAGAGATGTGCCCGTAGGCAGGAGCAAGATGCAAATGACATGCAGAATGCCGAACATAACTTATGATCACACAAAGAGAGCAGTGATGAAGCATTTATGAAAAATAAATACAATAGTTTAAGCAAGCGAGTAAGAAATAATAGTCCTATACATTCCAACAGAAAGGATGTAAGAAAATTATGCAATTCTCTCTACGTCTCATGCGGAGAAGGCTGAAAAGCGACTACCGAGAGCACCCGGAGTCTCTAATGAAATACCTTCCAGCATATCAAATGCAAAAGGAGAATGACTGTGCATGAAAGC